TATATATAATATTTATTTATGAAAAATATATTTATTTATAAAAAATGCTTATATAATTCTCTCTGCACTATCCTGAGATTTAGTGAAGCTACTAAAATTTTAGAAAATATCTGATTAAAAAAAATAAGGTTGGTGGTAGTCTATAAAGATGCATAAAGTACCAATGAAATTAATCATAATGCTCACCTATAAACTCTTTTTTGAAGGAGACATTAGATAAGTATTTCTCAGACACTGTTAAGTTGAAAATAGATGGATTACCTTCACCAATGATATCTTCAAACTTATCTATATACTAGAGGCCTGGTGCACAAAATTCGTGCATAGGAATGTGTGTGTCCTGCAGCCCAGCCTCTACCCTCTCCAATCTGGGACCTCTTGCAGGATGTCTGACTGCCCATTTAGGCCCGATCTGCCTAATGAACAAAATAAACAGGCAGTCGGACATTCCTCTCAATATCCAGGACTGCTGGCTCCCAACTGCTCACCTGCCTGCCTGCCTGATTGCCCCTAACCACTTCTACATGGCAACCTGATCACCCCCTAACCACTCCCCTGACAGCCCGTTCAATGCCTAACTGCTCCCCTGATGGCTCAATTGACCCTAACTGCCGTGCCCTATCAGGCTGGTCACCCCTAACTGCTCTCTCCTGCCAGCCTGGTTGCCCCTAACTGTCTTCCCCTGCAAGGCTGGTTACCCCCAAATGCCCTCCCCTGCTGGCCCGGTCACCCCTAAATTCCCTCCCTTGCCAGCCTGTTTGCCTCTAACTGTCCTCCCTTGCCATCCTGTTTGCCCCTAACTGCCTTCCCATGCCAGCCCAGTCACCCCTAACTGCCCTCCCCTGCTGGCCTGGTTGCCCTCAACTTCCCTCCCTTTCAGGCCTGGTCCCTCCCAACTGCCTTCCTCTGCTGGCCTGATTGCCCACAACTGCCCTCCCCTGCAGGCCATCTTGTGTCCACATGGGGGCAGCCATCTTGTGTTGGAATGATGGTCAATTTGCATGTTACCTCTTTATTAGATAGGATACTATTAATCCCAGGTTACATGGTTCTGACAGATTTCTTAGTTTCTAAGGTTTAGCCTATCTAATAAAAGAGTAATATGCAAATTGACCATCACTCCAACACACAAGATGGCTGCCACAAGATGGCCTGCAGGTGAGGGCAGTTGCGGGGGACCACCCTTGCAGGGGAGGACAGATAGGGGTGACCAGGTGGGCAGGGGAGGGCAGTTAGGGGCAATTGGGCTGGCAGGGGAGATGTTAGGCATTGATCAGGCTGGCAGGGGTGTAGTTAGGGGGTGATCAGGCTGGCAGGGAGGGCAGTTAGGGGTGACCAGGCCTGCAGGAGAGGGCAGATAGGGGTGACCAGGCGAGCAGGGGAGGGCAGTTAGAGGCAATTGGGCTGGCAGGGGAGAAATTAGGCATTGATCAGGCTGGCAGGGGTGTAGTTAGGGGGTGATCAGGCTGGCAGGGGGCCAGTTAGGAGCAATCAGGCAGGCAGGCAGGCGAGCAGTTGGGGGCCAGCAGTCATGGATTGTGAGAGGGGTCGCAGATTGGAGAGGGTACAGGCTAGACTGAGGGACACACCCTCATCCTTCTCCTTGCTTTGCCTTTCAATGAGGTCATCACCCTTCTCCCTGCTTTGCCTTTCAATGAGGTCATCATCCTTCTCCTTGCTTTGCCTTTCAATGAGGTCATCATCCTTCTCCCTGCTTTGCCTTTCAATAGGGTCATCATACTTCTCCCTGCTTTGCCTTGCCTAATGTTGGCTTTATCCTAAGGCTTATCTCCCATGTGATTGCTAGATTGACAGTGTACGGGCTAAATGTGCCCTTGTTTATGTCCAGCCAGTGAGACATGGGGACAGGGGGCAGTAATTGGCCCTTGGGTCTGGAAAATAAGACCTCCCTGTTGTCTGGTTGTGTCAAGTTTGGTTGTGTGCCTCCCTGTGGACAAATAACTATCATCAGAGAAATGTCGGGATTCCATTTGGAAGTACAAATGGGATGGATTCCTGAAGATGAAGAAAAGGGTCTGCTTCAGTTACGTTAATATATTGAAGCGTTTCTGAATATCTCACCAATTTAAAGAACACTTTATTTCTCTCTTTGGCATATTTCATTAATGTTTGAGAAGAAGTGTCTAGCTCAATCATTTATTCAACAAATATTTATTTTTTATATATTTTTTTTATATTCTAGGGTGTTCCTGGGATTCGTGGAAAGAAGGGTCTTAAAGGAAGACAGGTAGTTCAATTCTTGTTTTCTGAGGTTCAGTTAGAGCAATATAATCTAATTATGTGTATGTTTCTCACCTATTAAAACATGAATGTGGTTATTCTTATCCACAATCCATATCATTCAACAGAAATTAATTTTTGCCACAATCTAGCAAGTACTACCTGAGAATGTGAAGGAAAATTTAGATTAAAAGTAATTTAAAAAGTAGCACTTCTAACCCATTTAATGTACCTTTTCCCCCATAACAAGGGGCTAAAATGTCACAGAAAATACATGAACAATTTAAAACACTGATGATAATACTATTCACCCTCATGGTTTAGAGGTTTTTTGTAGGCCTGCTTCAGATGTTAGCTGAAAAACTACTTTGTTACAGCTTGTTATATTTTTCAGGTTAAAAAAAATCAATGAAAGTGAATTTTTCCAGATAATGTAATGCTTCTGAGAGATGGGTGGACATTTTGACATCATCCAATACCCTATTTAACCAATGAGAAAGCTGTTTGTGGTTCAGGGGAGCATCTTCAGGTTATCCTGGCTGAGTCAGTACAGCTAATCCAGCACCTGCTTTTCACGTGTGCTGTTATTCAACGATATTGACTAGGGTGGGACATTCTGTGCTACACTGTTCTCTAGTCTATGAGGAAGAAAATTGCATTTCATGATACCTTTTCTAAAATTTGGTGTATATAAATAAAAGCTTGATGATAATGCTAAAGGATTATATATCTCACCAGAATATTTATATTATTTTAAAGCATTTTATCCTTTGACCTTTGCAATAGTTCTTAAGGTAGATGTTAAAAGACTTGCTCAGAATCACATAGTTAAAATTGGTAAAATCAAGAATTGAGCCCAGCTCCTCTGAATACAAACCCAGGACCCTTTTTCTTACTTCTTAGATATTTCTGCTGACTGTCTTCTACTCATTGCTTAGAAGAGCATTATTTATTTTTTCCTGTCTTTTAGACAAAATATGATAAAAATTATTTTAAAGTTTCACTTTAAAGACTTTAATGTATTAAGATTGAACTTACCAAACTGTCAAAGTATAAAAAATAAGCCAAACATTTTTTCTTGCACTTACATTCAATTTTAAGACTAACCTGTAGCAACAACTGAACTGTTACCATTCCCATCATCACCACTGATTATTCTCAAGCCCTGTGCTAAATATTTTGTATGCCATCTAATTTAATTACACTCTACCTTACTTCAAAATGTTAAAATGTAATTTCTTTATGTTTTAGCCCTCAAACACAAATACTTCTCCATTTATTATGTGTTAAATATTTAAATTAAATATGCAAATGTAGGCTGTCTCAAAATTGACAGTAGGTTAAGTTTATCTTCATTATTCTTCTATTCTCCATTCTGTGCTTAAATTTTTCCCATTCTTCTCTTATCAAAGTATGCTGTCAGTAGAAGAACAAATTAAGTTATTTATGCCACTATATAAATTAGTTCCAGTGTATAAAATGTTGCCTTTCCTATTAGCAATTATATTTTAAACATATTTTAAGACAAAATAAATAATCTGCAATGGTGGAATTTTAGGGATTGGTGAAAAAATACTTTCTCAGAGCTCCTCTGATATGTCAGTTCAGTAGCTCCCAACTTTACTAATGTGGCTGGTCATATATAAATATTAAATTTATCTTGGCAATATATAGGTAATATCTAGTTTGCTACTCCACAATGAACTATAAAATTATTTATGGAAATTTATAGATAACATCTGGGTTTCTTACACCAGGAGGAATTATAAAATTATCCAACACATGCTATCTATTTCAAAAGGGTAGTTCAAGAAAAACTGGAAAACCAGTACTGGGTTCTTTGATTATACTCTTCTTTATATTACAAAATCTGTAAAATTTTATTAATTTAAAAATGTATGCTTTTGTAATAGATGTAGATCTTTAGAAAAATTATATTTGAAGGACACATGTATCCTATTTTTTCCTAAATAATGTTTATAATAGAAAATTTGTCTGATGCTGTAATATATCATGTATAGTATATATACTTTTTCTTGTCTTTGCCACAAAATGATTTGGCCATGTTTATGAGGAAATTGCTGTGCTTAGAATAAGATACAGTTATAGCCGCAAGGAAATTATGCCAAGGCTGACTTCAAAGACTCTTCCAGAATATTATCCTATGTGTAAGGCTCCCTTATGTTTTGTTCATTTTAAGTAAAATCATCTTCAGATAGCTTTGATATTATGTAAGAGCAAACATATTAGCATGGGGTAGTATGCATCATGAGACACCTGTATTTATCAGTTTAGGTGATTAAAATCCCATGAGAAGAATGGTCTCATTGCTGTTTAAGTAACAGTAAAAAGTGGACATACCTTTTGATATGTTCACTCTCTATGATGTGGAAAATGTTGGTTGTGTAGAATTTAAATACGGCCATTTTCTCTTGGTAATCTATTAAATCATGTATACTATTTGTTGTTATTGGTAAAGTAGACATTCAAATAAAGAAGCAGAACTAAAGGATTCCAGGCCTCCATAAAAATGGTGACAGAAATCCATGCATCTGAAAGAATATTGCAGTAACCTAGAAAGGTTGAAATCTGAAAGTACCTGTATCTAAGACACTTTCGGCTATACAAATGTCATACTGTTACCTCCAGTTTTTTGCTATTTCAGAACTATTTATAACTATGGGCTGATGCTTCATTAGGCAGCTACTGCTCTGTGGATCCCACATTATTTAATTTATTATCATCAGTATGAATATTATGAAAAGATGTATTTTATTTTCATTATTTCTCCCCTTCAACTGAATTAGTCTTTTTGTATTTCAAATGAGCTTGTTTCCTCAAATTGTAGGTAGGTAGAAGTATCAGTCTTATGAATATAGAATATTATGATTCAGTTTTAAGTAATTATTGTTACATAATTTGTAGAATAATCGTAGCTCTTTATAGATAACTTTTTAAGTTTTGTGTAACATTTTACACTTAGATTTTTGAAGTTTCTGAAATTAAGGCCAGAAACTTATAAAATAGGTTACTTCTCTTTCTGCATTATGTGTACCATGAAACACCTGACAGTCAATTTAGTGAAGGTAATAGGCACAGAAAACTTCGAAGTCCACGTTCAGGTCTTTCTAAATGTAATCAAGGTGAGCTTTTTTGGAATGCTGAGTTGGTTTCTAACTTGTGTACTAAAGATCTATGTTTGATATTAATAATTTACAAAGTATTTAAATGTATACATATTGATATTATCCTATCTAATAAAGATGGAATATGCAAATTGACCATCACACCATCACAAAGATGGCAGTGCCCATAGCCACAAGATGGTGGTGCCCAGTCCCATCAGCCCCTCCAGAGTCCCCCAGTCCTTTCAGCCCTGCCAGGCGTTGCAGGTACACAGTGTGGCTGGACCTGCCCTCGGCCCCCCAGCCACGGGCAAGCCTTGAATGTCAGCTGCCCAGCCACCCAGGGTGGGTCCGAGGCTCAGGCAAGCTTCAGATGGTTGCCCAGCTGCCTAGGGCCACCAGAGGCTCAGGTAACCAGGGCTGGCTGAGGCTTTCACTGCTGGCAGTGGCAGCAGCAGAGGTGTGATAGGGGCATCTCCTTCCCCTGATTGCCAGGTCGCCTCCCGCCCCTGTGGCCTCCTGGACTGTGAGCAAGCTGGGCTAAGAGACCCCCCCCCCGCTCCAACAGTGAATGAATTTTCATGCTCCAGGCCTCTAGTGTTAGATATAACATAATTATAGAGGAGTGGTGAAAATCCTGTTTATAGCTGTTCAAGAGTTAGTAATATTGCTAAGCTTCAGTTTTGAAAGATGTTGCTATAAATCATATACTCATATAGCTGGCCAAATGGTCACTTATTTTCCTGAGTAAACATTAAGCATGGAATTAAGTAGTTGTGAGCCAACTTCCTAGTGATGTCTGTATTTTTTAAAATAAAATTATAGGTTCACAAGTAAGAGATATCTTCTCTTAGACAGTAGAAATATTATATGAATGCTATTGAAAATGGATACATTATAAATAACATATTATTTTGGTTATTCAAGAGTTATTTCTTATTTAACCTCATACTGGTATTTTTAAATTTAATGTTTGTGTTAAAAGTTGTTTCACATTAAATTTTACTTCCCAGAAACTCTTTTTCCCCCAAAATAAAACATTGTGCTTATTCAGTGTTTAGGAATTGAGTTGATATTTGTAACAAAATCTGTTTTTGTTTTCAACAGGAAGAGTAGGAAAACTGGCTTTGTTAGGAATTTGGTTTATTTTGGGATGAAAGAGTATATAAAAATCATTATATTAGCAAATTCATTTGTTCCTTGGTCTTAGATTGTTGGTATTCGAGAATTTTTTCTTGCTTGTATTATAAGCTATTTATGATTTCAAGATCTTAGTATAAAGTACTTACGAATCACTATAATTATGTTTAAAACCTCATGTAATCAGTTATATATTAGTCAATAATGTGTACTCGTGCTTTTGGATATAAGCTATAGTTCTTATCTCTTCCTCTCCTCCCCTCCTACATGCCCTACATTGGATCAAAATCTTAGAGGACAGCCACAGGGTTCTAGATGCATTCAGTAGAACCAGCCTTTGAAGATGAGGAAGCCCAAGACACTGCTAATTCATTCTTTTCACTGTCTGTGAAAAGGACTCAAATCCTTTCTCCAGAGATCTATCAAGTATGGTAGTAGACAATCTTTATTGGCCAGGCCTCTTTTGTTTAATCTTCACCTGAGGACATGCCTTTGGTTTTTTTTTTGTGTGTGTGTGTGTGTGTGTTTTTCATTGAGTTTAGGAAGAGCCGAAGGAAGAGGGGGAGAGAAACATTAACATGAGAGTGAAACATCCATCGGTTGCCACTCGTACACCCCTCCTGGGGATTGAACCTGAAACCTGTGTGTGTGCCCTGACCGAGAGCCGAACCCATGACCTTTCTGTGTACGGGACGATGTGCCAACAAACAGCCACACTGGCCAGGGCTGGTCAGAACCTTTT